ATGAATGAATGAATGAATGAATGAATGAATGAATGAATGAATGAATGAATGAATGATCTTTGCATATGGTAATCTCAGTGTTGGTGATCATTACGACAATAGCTGCCAGGCAAACCAATATTGGATATTCTAGGATTAAGTTCCCAAACCTTGTCAATTCCATCCTGAAGGACAAAAATGCTAATTTTTAATTTGCCTTTGGATAAGTAACTCAAAAATACCAAGCAGGAGGACAAGAACAAAACCCATTTTTCTCCTTTTGTAGAACAGGCACGACGTATATTTACAATCCCTGAAGCCCGTTGCAGTGTAACCTTTCTGTCACAAGAGGGGGCTATTGTCAAAAGTCCATGTAGCCACAAAACTCAATTTCATAACAAGCAGAAATGCAGCAAAGGAATGGATACGCTCACTGCAGGATCAGACTCTGCTTCTGTTGGCATTTTAGCCACTAGTGAATGGCAACGGGGTGGGTACCCCCCTGAAAGGGCCCTGGGTGAAATACCCAAAGAAACTAGGATGTAAAATAATCCACCCTACCTCTCAAATGTCAAGTGCTGTGATGAGCCACTGTTTTGTTTAGAGATGTAAAGCTTCCACAGTATTAAAAAAAACACAGAAATATTGAAGGAAATTGACATACAAATAATATCTTTTTAAAGCACCCTTCAGGTGGCAAACAGGCTAGCTTGTCTTGCCTTGGAAGCTAAGCAGTTTTCTGCCTGGTTAATACTTGGATGGGAGACTTCCAAGGAATTCTAGACATGATATTCAACTGACACATTGCCACTTTGCACACCACACTGAACCACAAATTAGCCAGTCATATTTTAAACTAGGGTGTTGTGTGAATCCAGCCGCTGTAGTTAGTTTATGATTCAGGGTGTTGTGTGAACCCAGAAAATTGAGTTCACTGAGTGATGTGTAGTTATCCAGTTAGTCACAGATAAAATGTGCCATGGGAACATAGCTTCTCTTTCTTTTCAAAATATCTATCCTGTTTTCAATTTCTTTATGATTTAAGTATAAAAGGTAGATGACATTTTTCTTCCACTAAAGGTACTTATCACACCTAAGCAACAACAAAGAATGAAGACAGTATCAAAAACAATGTTAATAGAACTTACTACAACAGTTGAATCAGTGGCTCCATAATGGATGCTCTGTGGGTTCAGCACTTCGTTGCAAGGGTCTGTCAACATAGACAGGTCCAGAAGGCATACAGGTAGTCCTCGGTTAACAACCACTCATTCAGTGACTGAAGTTACGACAGTCCTCGAGTTCTGGCTGTCCCAGCACCCCCATGGTCATGTGATCATGACCAGGCACTTGGCAACCAGCTTTCACTTACAGTTGCAGCATCCCAGAGTCACGTGATTGCCATTTGCGACCTTCCCTGCCAGCTTCCCACATGCAAAGTCATTGGGGAAGCCAGCAGGGAAGGTCTCAAGTCACTCCTGTAAGTTGCTCCCATTCTTCCTGCTTTGTCTCCCAAGGACCCTGGCTACAGAGTATGAGATCCTGGGGATCTCGTACGCCATAGTGCGCCTGCCCACAGCAATCACCCGCCCACACTCTAGTGCATGCCTGCCCGACCATGTTTGCATGACACTGCAGCAGCCACCTGCATGCCCTCCTGCACCTTGCAGCAGCAACCCCTGGCTGGCCATGCCCACTTACGAGCCACCCAGGACTTGCAACTTCCGGTCAGCTTCCCCATTGACTTTGTTTGTTGGAAGCTGATGGGAAGTCACGAGGAGGTCCTTGCTTAATGATCCACAATCCTTGCTTAATGATAGCAATAAGAACTGCTGGGATTGCTGTCGCTAAGTGATGTGGTCACATGACATGTTTTACAACCTCATTGCTTAGTGACGGAAATTCCGGTCCCAATTACTGTCGTTAAGCGAGAACTACCTGTACTGTATAACAGGGACAAGCAATCTATTTAGACTTCCCTCACCATTGACTACGCTAGTTGGACTTGATAGGATTTGTAGTCCAAAATATCTGGAAATCAAGACAAGCTTATACTGTGGGACCCTAAGGATACAATTTCCAAAGTTTCTGTGTATTCTTATTACATTTGCCTTGTCCTGAGGAAGAGGGCTTAGTATTGTTCTTCTTTCCAGACTCCTGGCTTTCTCAACCTACATTGTTTCCAGTGAAGTCTTTATTTTTTACAGAAAGCAGTTGGAGGTGGGGGAGTAGACAGAAGGGTATGTGAAAAGGAGAAATCTTACCTTATTAAAGGACTTTCAGGCAGGGGTGACAGGCACCTTGAACAGCCAGTCCTGGAGCATGAAAAGAGTTGTGAGAAAGCAAACATGTAGCTGCTCTCCTATTTGGGGAACCAGGAAGGCTCATACCTTGATTTATTGTGGGTGTTCTGTTTACCAGCATGGAAGTAAGGAAAAAATGGATGTTGAACTAATAACAATATATAAGCAGAAAAAAAGCAACATGACACAAAGGAAAGATCAGATAAGACGGCAGACTAATTAGATTTAAAATGATCTATGTCATGGATTTGCATAAATGCCATTTGCAGAAACTAGCTGATGCTTAGTGTCATCTAAGATCACATTTGCTGTTCAATAGCGATCTGAAAAATCATACACATTAAAACAAACCTGTTTGCTTGTCTATCATATTTTTCAAGTGGACAGACTCAACTAGAATGTGGGAGAAAAGTGGTAAGATCTGGTACAAAGCTTTTCCAAAAGATACAGCAGTAAGTAACCAACACGGCCAAGAATAAGGCTACTGTTAGGCAGAGTAAGGAAGCTGCGTCAGTTGCCAGGCCCTGCAGGGAAGGACCAAACCATGCTGGTCATCTGGCTTGCCTTGTGCTTGCTGAGCCTGCCATAAGCTGTGACCATATTCTACAGCTGCCAGCCCATCTCTCT